ACCCGAGGCAGTGTGGATAAAAAGAGAACCCACACGAACAGCATCATGCTGGGCGGAGGAGGGTGTGTGGGGAATGCTTCAGCTCTCTTCTTCATTCTAAAACACAAGAAAAGTGTCAGACAGGCAGGTGGACACAAAGCTAGGTAAATATTGATGACTTTTGGACCATTTTATTTCCCACCCGCCATCAGCTCTCTACAGACAGACAGCCTGTTTACGCTTCAGCAGCATTGATTTCCGCTCTACTCCTTATTCATCTTTATTTTCACCAAATTTAATCTGGAATCTTAAGCGCCACAGACCTCCAAATGTAGTTTGCATATTAAGAAGCGGCTGATTATCATGGACCCGAAACACAGATCTTTAATTTTGTGCATTTTAGACACAGCTTCTGCCTGCACGGCCATGCTGGAGATAATTGTGGAAATCTGCATATTGAGAGGTGGGCCATGGTCAGGGTCTGTTTTGGAGTGTGCCCCTTGTTATGTGGTGTGATTTGTGTGGTAGGATGAATATTACTCTCTGAATTAGGTTATTATGTTGCCAGGTGGAGGCCAGCAGAGTTACAGTGATCATTCTGTCACGATAATGAAGCAGTTTCTTCAGGCAATCATAACACAAAATTTACTGCCACACCACAATCAGCAGCAGTTAACTGTGGATCATATGTCATAAATATTTATTAAGATCCATTGTACTCTTCCTTATGTTTCTACGGGAGTTTGCCAGAGTGGCACATAACTTCTATATGACATTATATCAAACTAAAATAACATTTTCAACAAATGAAACCCACCACTAAAGTTTCCATCCCTAGAACCTGACACAAATCAACATTTTGGACAACTGTCTGACATTGTCCCAGCTGAAGACCAGCCATTTTGGAGGCACATAAGAGTGTCTTGGACATTTCATTGGCATGTCTCATGTTTGCATTTTTTGTACCCCCAAATACCAGAGGCATGATTAGAAACAGGAAGCTCTAGAGTTTTAGAATTTCTAGCGTGAACTCCATGATCCTTACTTAGTTTGACATTTCCTACAGACATGCTTTTACCCGTTACCTTGAGAAAAATTGGCGTACCTGTCTGAATTACATGACAGGGGATTTCAGGGGAGATAAGAAGATGAAACTATAGGGTGAGAAACGGTAGCTGAATGTGGTCCAGAGTGTACGTCAGTGTTGTCGGAAAGTGTTGAAGATAAGATGTGTAGTTCAAGGATACGTGGTTCAAGGTGGATTTATTGTAGTTGGACGCTTACACTGAGTGTCAGATCATCAGACGATATTCTGTTAGATTGAAGATCAGTTGATAGTTCTGTAGCAGTGAACTGCTTTGTCCAAGACATTCTCTGGTGGTGTTGGAGGAAGACAGACACACATCTGCATATTGCCAAGCCAGCAGGGAAAAGTTATACTGAAGGCAAAAACTAAACCTGTGAGTTCATAAGAACACTTCTTTTGGCTGTCGATGATAACTCCTCGTAGGAAAGCAGGTCCAAATATGACAATCTGCAGTGCCTTTGTCTAGTCTTAAAATGGATCTCACCACCTTCTCACCACATTCCTTCTCCCTTTCCTCACCCTCACTCTCCCCCATTGAGTGCCAGTGGGCCTGGGTCTATTGCTGCCACTCTACTAATTGGAACCAGTCCCATCTAGCACCATATAAACCCACTTACACACAAAATAGCTCTGATCCCAGACCAGTAAACATAGTCACTGTGGCTAGGTCCCACCATTTTATAGCTGCTAATTTAAACACACAGCCTTGTGTTATCATAACCTTCATGTAAAAAAAAGAACGTGGAAGAAATTGGTTATTGATGGTGCATATGGCACTTTGGGGACTATTGCATCTTTGGTGATTGAATAAAGGGGAAAGGTTTACCAGATGTTTGAATGTGTAAGTAAAATGATTTAGGTTGCATATTATATATATATATATAAAAGTTGTATATTTGATGGCTGTTACCAGATCCCCATTTGTTACAGCTATATAATATAGAAACACTTTAAAGTTTAATTATGGCCAACGCTTGTGCGATTTTATCAAATATTTGGCAAACCCTGATGATAGATGTTCGGATGCCTCTTTTTCCATATATTACACAGTTGTTGTCACATGATAATTCTCCTAAAATTGGTTTGGTGCAAGTGGGGAAAATAAGTTCTGTAATATGGATCAGTGCAATGACTCTTTTATACTCATCCACACGTTCATGTCGAACAGAAAATGTGTTAGGATTCCGAATCCTAACCAGCATTTTGCAACTGACTGGAACACACCGATTCTACGTTGTGGGCATCGATGTGGATCCTAGATGACAAGCGAAAAGAAAAATTAAAATGATCCACTGGAACTGGTTTAAGAAGAATGTCTCAACTCTGCAATTTAAGTAATGTTTTAAATGGTTTAGTGATTGACAAAGGGAAAGGAGTGCCCTGCCAAAACTAAGGATTTGTGGTTTCTGTAGAAAAGTAAACAACAAAATGCTGACACAGTGGGAAAAATGATTTTTTTTTTTTTGGGGGGGAAAAAAGGCCACATCTCAAGTAGTAACACATTCGACCGGCAATTCCCAACCCTTTATCCTTGGAATCCCCCCTATTTGCATCAAATAAAAGCTGGTCCCCACCAGGACCCACACAATACAGTGATAATTGCTTTGAAAAATAACGTAAATTTGAATAGTTTTCATTGATAAATCCCTATCAGAATGTGCCTACACACTTGTCCTAACCAAAAGACTGTTATATACATTTCCCAGTCAATTTTTTATTTAATTTAATTTTTGCAAATCTAATTTTGACATGGTTGGGAACCAGTGCACTGAACCGTCTTTTTGAGAGGATGGCAAGTTTGTCCAACGTCTCAGCATTGATTATCAATGTATATAACATATGCTGTATGTCTGTTAATAAATGATGTTGTGAATGAGAAACATTTCTGTGTTTTCATCTCTCTCCATTTTTCAGAATCATCTATAATATTTATTCTAGCTTTTTAAGTCGGGCAGAATCGTTGTATCTGAACCAGCTCTCTTGCCCGCTTCCATCACTGCAACACTTGTTGGTTTGCCGTTTGCCTGGCAAACCAAGGGGCGTCCAAAACAGCCGTGTGGGGGGTGCCTTTTCTGGTCAAAACAAATACAGACCATTCTGGACCAGAATCAAATCTGATTTGTTCTTAGAGAAGCCAGCACTTCCACATAGCATGAATTCTTAAAGTCTAATGATATAGTAAAGTCATTTTATGTTTTATTTCAGTAGATATCTTACAAATTGCTCCTTTAAGTACTGGAAGCAACCTGAATTGGTTTTAACTAGCAGCAACAGACTGCTACATCTCAGAGCAGATTAGTCCTGATTGGGACTGGAGGGCGTGTGGAAGCGTAGTAGACAGGATTAAGTGGCTATTGAAGTGACTTTAGCTCTTTTCGAGAGCAAAAGACAAGAAAAGAGAATCATTCAGCCCCCTCTTTCAACAGAAGGAGCCCCCTCCTCTTCCTTTCTTTCGCCTGTTTCCTCAGGCAAAGAAGGACACTATCTGCAAATATGATCCCTCGAAGGGCTTGTGATACCCAGCGAGGGTTAGTGAAGAGAGAAGCTGTCTCGTGCTGTAATTAGATATATCTGATCCTCGACATTTAGCCATTCATCTGGACCATTTGTTCGACAGATCGGCACAACAAATAATTAAGTAGTGTGTGCAGGAAAGTGATTATTTGTGTACACAATAGTGTGGAAGTGTGCGCTTGTGATTTGAAGGGTTACATCCAATTCCACTGCATTTGTGGCTTAGTGTTTAAACACTTGGCCCATTTGTGGTGCTTGCAGAAGTACAAGTATTTAGATATAGACAATTGTTAAGCTCCAATAACATGACTATGTTGAAGAAAATTTGCAACATAATTTTGCTACAGTAAACAGTTGTACTGTAGTTGCTCAACAAAAAGAGCTTGGGAGAAATTTCCAAATTAAAGGTCATGTTTATGTCATCAAGAGGCACTACTCACCATTATAGTTTTGATCACATGGGGATTTTTTTTAATCTTTTTAGAATCATTTTTGGTTTACCGCAAATTATTATTATTTTTTTAAGCTAAAATTAATGAATTATTCATTCATTTATGAGAAAAACTAAATCTCAGGTAAAAAAAAAATCACTTTCAATCAATTTTGCAAATCAGCAGTTTCTTATTGACAAATAATTTACTTTGACATCTAACATACTTCTGTCCCATTTTATGTATTACCCTTTCCTCACTTTTTAGATTAAAAGAGCTTTAACTAATGTTTCTTTTCATTCAGTATTACTCTGTTGTTAATGTACTTTATTAAATTACTTATTGTTTGATATATTTCATTTTGCAAAACTCCCAAAATGTTAACTGTTTCCTGAAGCCCAATAGAATGCCAAAGATATTATTATAAATATAAATATATAAATATTCCCATTTGTAGTTTTTGTCTTGGCTACAATGTGTGCTCCAAACTTTTCCATGACTCGGCTTCCACCAGTTGCTAACACCCCTCCTCATTCACTCTCTGCCCTGCCTACATATTCAGCAGTGTTGCAACATTAGCATATGAGTGGCTCAGTGTTTGGGTGAGTTTGTTCCTAACAAAGAGCGCCAAAGCTCAGGTCAACGTGTCTCATCCACTTCAATGGACAGCTGAAGGGCAAACAGAACTCCCCAAAATGAAACGCTTCCAGACTTTCGCTCTGGTCTGGAGGAAGAGGAGGCCTCCCTATTAATCTTCACATGTGAAATAAAAACTGTAGATATTATGAAGATGAATGCAGCAACAACCTTTAATTATTCATTGCCCTTAGCCCTGTATGGATACTGTGTGCGCTCATGAGTAATGTATGCACCAATGACATGTAATTATAGATTCATCCTAGCACTGTCTGACTTTTTGTGTATATTTCTGATGTGCACACAAAGGTATGCTGCCGTGGTTTTATGTTTGTACCTATTTGTGTTGACAGGGACAGCGGCTGGCTCCTGCCCGCAGCCTGGCAGTTGTGTACCAAAGCATGGCGTCATCACCATCACTCTGCAGGCCCCTCGCTGCGCTACGTTCCCCGCAGGGCCGTTCTCTACTGCCCCGGCAATGATGAGCGAAAATTGAGGAAGCTGGCCTCGCTTGATGTCGACTGTGCCGTCTTAGACTGCGAGGACGGTGTAGCCCTCAGCAAAAAGGTACACAAATCCACAGATGTATGAATTAAATGCACCTTAATGGGTCACAAACACACCAGCACAGCTGTTCAGGGTTTTTTTTATTTTATTTTATTCCATCTCCCTCCTTCAGACAGGTGCTCGGTCTTAATCACTGAAAGGAAAACTACCTAAGTGAGATGTTTAAAACAAGCACATTTCACCCCATTATGATGGGATAAAGGCAGTGGTGGCCCCCTATGGGAGTCCTTTAAAACAAGGTGACCACGTCCCGCTGGGCGAGCAGCGGGAAAGCACCAGATGCAGCAGGTTAAAAGCATTCTCCTCCCGCCCACACCGCCTCCCCATTGGCCCAGCTGAACTGCCCATGAAATTGTGATTGGAGAGCGCGGTAAAGAAGGGGGCTCGGGTAAAAAGTTAACAAACAAAGGTTTTTAAGTCATGATAATAAAGATGATTGATATGGCTGCAGGCTGTTCCTGTAGAAGACAATAAGACGATGGCCTGTGTGACTGACAGGCTAAAAAAGTGACCCCACGATGGAGTTGGTGGATGTCAGAGCTTCTGTCTTTATTATGTGGAAGAGGGGGGAATGTGGAGAGGAATGCAGCACTGAAGCATCCATTCAGGCTTGAGGAGAACTCAGACGCTGAACTCTGAGACACAAACTATCAGCATGTGTCAGACTTATGTCTCTATTTTATTTGAGTGAAAGTATCCTCCTTTAGCCCACTCTTGTCTTTCTACTACATACTCACTTCACAGACAAGACGTATGTGTCTTATTTCTAGCTTTGGAGGAAGAAATAATTAATGTTATTTTACATTCATTCTTATTTATTTTTTGTCTTTTCGATGCTGATGGGTTGTACCTGTAGAGAAAAGGCATTAGGCCCTGGTGTATGCTGTTCAATCTAAAGGGGAAATTACATTAGCTACAGGGTGTTTCCACTCTTTTAATCTTTTCCCAAGCTTACCTCTCCATATGAGCACTCTGAGTAATGCACATAAAAAAAAAACTACAATAGTAAATTCTGGTAAATTACCAACCTGTAATACTTCCCCTTCCTTAATATACTCATTACCTCTCCTTCTTTGATCATGCCACATCAGTGCCACATGCTACAAAGCATTGGCACGAGTTCAGGTTTGAACCTTTTTTTTGGCACTATAGGTTTGTGTACAGTCTGACACAGTGTGCAGAAATCCTGTAACATATTATGTGTCTGCCTGGTCGTACTGTGTAATATAAAAAAAATAGGTATTTACTCAATAACAAACTACACCTTTCCTACTGGCACCCTTTCTTCACATTCCCACACCCTCTGCTTCTGTGGCGATTGGAAATCTGTGGGGGTTGTTGTGTAGTTATACCTTCCCTTAAGATGGTATTTCTTTCTTGTTGGATCAACTGCGCTCCTTGTGTGTGTGTATATGTGTTTAAATGTGTGTGTGTGTGTGTGCGAGAAGGCTAAGGGGAATGCTGCTAAGACATTTGTTTTTAATATATTGATGTCCTTGTTTTGTTTAGTCAATTTGGCATCATTTTTTTCTCACTTTCAGTAGGTGTTCAAAACTTTCAACTTGTGAAAATATCTTTTCTTTATATTTATTTTTTATTTTATACACAGAAGATTATAAAAAGCACTCTCAGCCGATGTTTAAACTCTAAACAGGGAGGAGGAGGGCGGATGGAAATAAACAAATAGCTTCTGTACCTGGGCAAATTAAAACTCTGCCATTTATCAAATTAGTAAAGAGTGTTTTTATAAAACCGGAGATGTTTCATTTCTAAAGTCTTTGTATGAGTGTAGAAGGACACAACTGCATTAGCTTTGATTTAAAACAGCTAATGCAACCTTGACTCAAAGTGTGATTACTAGGGGTGGGAATCAACTCATGACAGGATATGTGTTACATGGCCAGCGATAATATCATGACACAGCAATTCGGCTTAATTGATAGTTTATTTTCGGGAAAAAAACATATAATGATCCATTCCAATATCTGATCAACAGAATGATATAGATTGCCTCTAACAGGGTAAAGTGCAGGATTTGTCTATTTTTTCACTGCACAAGTTCCACCTCTTATCGCGCTTCATTCGTTAACTTTCTTTCCTCCTGCTGTCGACTTCTTCAGCTAATGCCACCATCATTCATGTCATGAATGTCATGATGAGGAGTCATGAGGTAGGGACACAGTGAGTTGTATTTGAGTGATGAGTCATTTTAGATTTATGATATTTTTGTCCAACCCCTAGAAGTTACCCTTCAAGTTGAGCTTATTGTTATTGACCTACACGACAGTGCTGTGCCTGAATAAATCACCATTCAAACTAATTTAGTTCTGTAGCTTTTGCTGCTGCACTGCTAGCAGGCTGCTAACTTCATGGAGATGCTGTCAAATATGCAGGCTCAGTTCAGTTAGTCAAAGAGAGAATATTGTTTACAGCTGGGAGAAAGTTCGGACAAGTTTGGTCCTTCTTGAGTTGCATATACTCATGAACCAGAAATGTTAAAGTGTCAGTGTTGTGACGTCTTTCTCTGTTGTGTGCATTGTGTTGTCACTATGATGTCCAAAACATCTGTTCTATAACTCGCTTGCATTTCAAATTAATATCATTCTTCACAAATTAACCACGGACACTTGCAGGAGATCTCTGTAAACCCTTGAAATAGTTTTGGGTGTTGCTAATTGAATCAAAGATCTGGCTCATGTAAAATTACTTGTGTCAGAGAAAATGAAGTAGGTCGTTTTCTTGGCAGTAATCGTGTCGTATCTTGTTGTATGGTGTTGTTTCGTAAATTTACAGCTGAATTGAAAAACATTTGCTGATGACAAATTAAGAGCTTCGGATGGTAATTTGTGGTGGGCTTTCTTTCAGTATATCTTCCTTACCAACTGAATTGCAAATCAATAAGAGATTACCTTTTAACACTGTGAGTGTGTTTGCCCTGACAATATCTACAGTTAATACTGTAGCTATTCACCATGACAACCACACAGTCGGCACTGTGTGTGTGTGCCAAGAGATGCCAGGCTTCAACAATGCTCTCAATATGCATGTTTTTTTTTTTTTCTGAGGGGGAAGCAGAGACTGAGCTTGCTAAATACCATCCATTAGCCACTATTTCGGTGTCTCAAACAATAGCTTTATAGGTGAAATGTGAGCTTAGGTACCGGGGTATGCTTGGATAGGCCTTAAATGGGGCTACTGCCCATTCCACCCTCCTATTATGTGTTCATTAATGTATTCTTTTCATTATCAGTCACCTTCACCTTAAAACAGGGAGAGATATTCATGACAAAAAGGTAAGCTATGAAGGTCAGTCAGCCCCCCTCCCCTTGAAAATTGAAATCCAGGAGTGCCTGCTTTAATTGCCTGCCGCTTTGACTCCAAAAAAATGTCTGCGCTCCATCTTGGCAGTAACGCTGGCTGCTTAGGAGGCAGGGAGATGAGAGAAGGAGTAAAGGGTAGGAGCCTCCCCAGAGCTTGCTAACTGTCACCACAGACCCAGAGGGGAGAGAGAAGGGGGAGGAGAGAGGGGAGGGAAGACAAGGCTGACTGCTCTAACACTCTTACACATATCATCATATCTGTATGATCAGTGGGGTGGAGGAAGAGGGAGGGCAGGTTGAAACCCTGGAGCGGAACTGACGGCTACACCTGTCCTCTCTCCTCCCTTTACTCTCTCGCTGTCTTGTTCTTTCATTGTCCCTCTCTTCCCTTCGCCAGGGTCCTCAGGGTTAAGATTGTTTATCTCTCGCTCTCATGTTCTCTCTCCTCGTGCCCTATGGTCCAGTTTTCCTCCCGGTGTTTCTCTCCCCCCCCAACCCCCCACCCCCTCTCCTTCTCCTTTCCCCACATGGGTCCCTCCATCCTCCCTGACCGCTCCTGCCTCCCCGCCGCAGAGATTCTCTCCTAATCCCTGGAAGTTTGGAACTAATGAACTAACTGCTGAGCCGCTGCCACGGAGCTTGGTCCCAAACTATACTGTACTTCACACTCGATTTCCTCTCCAGATGGCATGGTGGCGCGGCCGACTCGATGGGGAGCAACTCGCGCGCACCAGCACGCACGCGCCTGCAGACGCGCAGGAGCACACACTGAACACAAACGTGCACACAGTCAAGCGTGCACAGTCGCACACAAACGTGGGCACATGCAGGCGAGCACACATACACAAATGGTTACAGTCGGCAGCTCACTGTACATCATTCAAGCATGACAGAGGACCAGTGTCCTGCTTTCACTCTCAGTCAGCTCACAAGCAAAAGCACTTGTTAGTGCTGAAAATGAAATTAATTTACTAGACACAAAGTTAAATATCTTCTTTTGTTACTGATCAACCCACTCTGTTCCTTTTTATTGGACCCATGTGGAAGCCAGAACCCTTAAACTCCTGGATTATAGTTTTATGAGTGTGTAGATGTGATTACAAACACACTTACATATGTACATATTAAATCCCTGCAACTTGTGGATTGTAACTTATTTTGTGTTTTTTTAATTACTGTATTAGAGGGAGAAGATTTTAAAGGATAAATTAGATTTTTTTTCCCCCCAAGACTACAAATTATTGATCAACAATAACTTTTCATGTTATAAATGTGAATGCCCTCACAATCCTGACAAAGTATCTAAATAATAAACTTAAAACAGCCTTATTTCAGCTCTAATATATCATATGGATTGTCATGTACCCCCTTCATTTTAACAGTATCTGTAAAGTTCAATATGGTCCTAAATAGTACAATAAATCTTCTATCATCAATAAGTAATTAATGTCATCGTTACATTAGAAATTATGAAACATCAATTGTTCTGGAAATTCAAGTAAGACATGCTTTTGAAATAATAGTACCATACTTCATCACAAAACTGTTTTATCTTGAATGTTTTAAATGTTTAAATTAAAATATTTTTTTCCTCCATGGGACCAAAATTTAATAAAACAAATGTCCAATCAGATAAACCATTTAGGATGTTCATGATTTGTGTTTCTGAGAACCACAATT